TGCATTAAAGGCTTCATGTTCAATTACTGTACACTCTAAAAAATGCTGGGTTGTTTCAACCCAACTTTGGGTCAAATATGGACTAACCCAACTGTTGGGTTACATTTTTACATTCAATTTTTAACCCAAAAGTTGGGTTAGTCCATATTTGACCCAAAGTTGGGTTGAAACAACCCAGCATTTTTTAGAGTGTACAGTGCCAGAGGCACAAATTCCATATTTTGTTTTGAGCCCTTGTGAAAAAGAAGTACACTTTAGGACATTTCTAATAAGAGTACTGATTATGGAAATATACTTTTAAAGAATAAACTTTGCGAGAATATAAATGTGAACTGAATGTAATGTTTTCAGAAACGTATTTGCATGTTATTTACCATTACAAGAAAATGTATTATATACATTTATATTAAGTGCAATTAGTTGAACTTATTCAACTAGTCAAATTAGTTTAAGTTATTTTTGACCCACTTAAGTAGGACTTAAATACATCTTCATATGCAATTTAATAATTCTATTGTCTTTGAAATATGGTTAAAGTACTGCTGAATGCACAGACAAGCATTTCTGATAAATATAAGTATAAACTAAATTATACTTTAATGTAATTTCTAGTGAAACTTGTATGTCATGCATATAAATATATTTTTAATTACACTTTTGTAATGATTAAGTTGCAATTCAGTACATGGAAAATCATACAATTAATATTAATCGACAAAATATTAATTAAAACAAGTATTTCAAATGTACTTTAAAGTAAAACTTTGAATTTGACATTATTAAAAAGTGCACTTTTTAAAACTTGAGTGTGTTAAGTTCAGTTCATTTTAGTATGTATTATTTGATAATAATAATAACAATAATAATGACCAAAAATGTTGTGCATGTTGTTATATAATTGTTTAATGATTATTACTACAAATGAGGGTTTACTGTACACTGCATTTAGACATGTCTAGAATGTTGCAATGTCCAGGAATTTTGCAAAGCTCATTAAGATAAATATTAAATATTCAGTTTGACCTCCTAAAGTTGACCAGTGATTATCTGACCATTTTTTTAGTAATTTTTAAGAGTTTCAGACCCAATTTTTGTACTCCAGTTGTGAATGTGCCTTCTGTAGGACACTGAGGACACCTGCTGCAATTTCACAACATGCAAAGCGGAAGACAGCAGCAAAGAGAGGAAAAAGTGAAATCAGAAAGAATTACAAAGAAAGAGAAAGAAAGAGATAAGGTTAAAAATAGTTAGCGTATGGCACAGTATGATTGAGCTTCCAGGGCTCTGAAAATTCACTCTAAGGAGTCTGCTATATATCTACACCCTCGCGCTCTCAGGCGCGCTTTACCTAAAAACAGGATATACGTTACCGGAGCCGACGGGGAGAACGAGATCTTTTTTAGAGAAGATGAGTCCTCGCGCAGCTTCACGGTGTCATGATTACATTCCGTTCCGCGAGAAAGGTCAGTCAGTATCGTGGCAACTGCTGAAGGGGTTCACGCCATGCCAATACAGATTGCGGCCGCGATAAGAATCAATTTTTGACACTTCACCCCTGCGAAAGGGTTCACCGTCCCAAGACATTAAATTTACTGCGGTGTCACGGGCCGCTGGTGGAATGGGTGTCGAGTGAAAGTTTTAGCGGGAGAACTTGGGAGATTCTGATGGTGCGCATGATTTAAGTGCTTTGCTACGGGACCAAGTTTATCACATGCACACATGCAAACACAAATATTGAATTGTGGTCTAAGCGAGGCATTGTCATCTGAGTTTATATGCTTGAAGCTGTAATTAGTGTGCAGAACATCTGCCCAGTAGCATAAGTGTTTTACATACTGCAGTTTTTTTTTTTGTCAGCATATGGAATTATGTGCCATACGTTTCTGTCAGATGCTGAGCGAACACCTTCATGGCCTGCTAGTTATTTATTATTAATGGTTACACTTATACCGTTTTCAGTTGTGTTGTGTAAAATAATGTCAATCAAACACAAACGTGGTAAAAAGGACATTTTCAGGTAATAACCTCAAATTTAAATGACCTAAGTTTCTTACACAAAGCTAAAAGACTTCAGAGGACTGGAATAGGCTACTACACAAAAAGTCATATGGGCTAAATTTAGGTCTTCTTTTTTTCCAGCTGATGACCGTTAAAAACATTGACAGCCAATCATAATCCATCCTACTTTAAAGAGCTTGAGCATTTGAAGTGGCAGACGACCAAACTGCAGCTTTTGCACGGATTGTTCATCCAAAAATAAAAAGTTGTGTCATCGTTTACTCACCCTCAAGTTGTTCCAAACCTGTAGGAGTTTTTTTCTTCTTCTGTGAAATGTAAAAGAAGATGTTTTGATGAATGTTGGTAACCAAACAGTTAATGGTCCCCATTCACTTCCATAGTATGGGAAAAAAAAGGTACTATGGAAGTCAGTGGGGACCATTAACTGTTTGGTTACCAATATTCTTCAAAACATCTTATAAATAACCTTTGTGTCCAACTGAAGATAGAAACTCATGACACTATTTTCATTCTTGGGTGATCTATTTAACAGAATGTTATTGTCTGTTGGTGTGAACGCTACACTCTCAGAAGAAAAGGCACAAAAGATGTCACTGGGGCGGTACCTTTGGAAAAGGTATGCCTTATTTACCCCTAAATAGTGCATATCACTACATTTAAAGTACATATTAATACCTAAAGTGCACATACTAGTACCTAAATGGTACAATTTAGTATATTTTGAAAAGGTACCGCACCAGTGACAACTTTTGTACCTTTTTTTCCGAGAGTGTAATATTGTTATCATTAGTTAGGCCTATTGTTCTTGGTGTGAACAGGCTGTAAGAGTGATGAGCAGGAAGAAAATGATGAAAGCAATAGGCTATAACAGCTATAACAGCAGGTCTTTTCTTAAAAAAGTCTAAAATCTGCCATATGAGCAGTTTTCCTCTATATAGATCTCTCCAGAAGCCTGGGAGTGCCTGATTATAAGCCAGAGGAACATGTGTAAGCAGTCTTTAGCTCTATTCGTTTGGAGTGACAGGCATACAGCTGTGATATCTACTCTGGGCTGCTGCTGATCATGTGGCCACAGGAACAATAAACCCATCAAATCACCAGATCAAAGAGGGATTATGGGTAAAGCACGGACATGAGAGGTGGCTGCTTCTACACAACACATTACTGCAAACAAACACAGATCCTACACACACACACACACACACACACACAAACACAAACACACACACACACACACACACACACACACACACCAAC